TATAGGAGGGGGCGGTAAGATATATAGGTGGGACAATAAAAGATAAAGGATTGACAGTAAGATATCAGATATATAGGAGGGGGCGGTAAGATATATAGGTGGCACAATAAAAGATAAAGGATTGACAGTAAGATATCAGATATATAGGAGGGGGCGGTATATAGGTGGAACAATAAAAGATAAAGGATTGACAGTAAGATATCAGATAGATAGGAGGGGGCGGTAAGATATATAGGAGGGACAGTATGTATAGGATTGACTGTTAGATATATAGGTGGAACAATAAAAGATAAAGTATTGACAGTAAGATATCAGATATATAGGAGGGGGCGGTAAGATATATAGGTGGGACAATAAAAGATAAAGGATTGACAGTAAGATATCAGATATATAGGAGGGGGCGGTAAGATATCAGATATATAGGATTGACAGTAAGATATCAGATATATAGGAGGGACAGTAAGATATATAGGAGGGACAGTAAGATATATAGGAGGGACAGTAAGATATCAGATATATATGAGGGGGGCGGTAAGATATCAGATATATAGGAGGGGGGCGGTAAGATATCAGATATATAGGAGGGGGCGGCAAGATATCAGATATATAGGAGGGACAGTAAGATATATAGGAGGGGGCGGTAAGATATATAGGAGGGACAGTAAGATATCAGATATATAGGAGGGGGGCGGTAAGATATATAGGAGGGACAGTTAGATATATAGGAGGGACAGTAAAATATCAGATATATATGAGGGGGCGGTAAGATATATAGGATTGGCAGTAAGATATCAGATATATAGGAGGGGGCGGTAAGATATATAGGAGGGACAGTTAGATGTATAGGAGGGACAGTAAGATATCAGATATATAGGAGGGGGCGGTAAGATATATAGGAGGGACAGTAAGATATCAGATATATAGGAGGGGGCGGTAAGATATATAGGATTGACAGTAAGATGTCAGATATATAGGAGGGGGCGGTAAGATATATAGGAGGGACAGTTAGATGTATAGGAGGGACAGTAAGATATCAGATATATAGGAGGGGGCGGTAAGATATATAGGAGGGACAGTTAGATATATAGGAGGGGGGGCGGTATATATAGGAGGGACAGTTAGATATATAGGAGGGACAGTAAAATATCAGATATATAGGAGGGGGCGGTAAGATATATAGGATTGGCAGTAAGATATCAGATATATAGGAGGGGGCAGATATATAGGAGGGACAGTTAGATGTATAGGAGGGACAGTAAGATATCAGATATATAGTAGGGGGCGGTAAGATATATAGGAGGGGAGCGGTAAGATATATAGGAGGGACAGTTAGATATATAGGAGGGACAGTAAGATATATAGGAGGGGGCGGTAAGATATCAGATATATAGGAGGGGGGCGGTAAGATATATAGGAGGGGGCGGCAAGATATCAGATATATAGGAGGGACAGTAAGATATATAGGAGGGGGCGGTAAGATATATAGGAGGGACAGTAAGATATCAGATATATAGGAGGGGGGCGGTAAGATATATAGGAGGGACAGTTAGATATATAGGAGGGACAGTAAAATATCAGATATATAGGAGGGGGCGGTAAGATATATAGGATTGGCAGTAAGATATCAGATATATAGGAGGGGGCGGTAAGATATATAGGAGGGACAGTTAGATATATAGGAGGGACAGTAAGATATCAGATATATAGGAGGGGGCGGTAAGATATATAGGATTGACAGTAAGATGTCAGATATATAGGAGGGGGCGGTAAGATATATAGGAGGGACAGTTAGATGTATAGGAGGGACAGTAAGATATCAGATATATAGGAGGGGGCGGTAAGATATATAGGAGGGACAGTTAGATGTATAGGAGGGACAGTAAGATATCACATATATAGGAGGGGGCGGTAAGATATATAGGAGGGACAGTTAGATGTATAGGAGGGACAGTAAGATATCAGATATATAGGAGGGGGGCGGTAAGATGTATAGGAGGGGGCGGTAAGATATATAGGATGGGGGCGGGGGGGGGCGGTAAGATATATAGGAGGGGGGCGGTAAGATATATAGGAGGGGGGCGGTAAGATATATAGGAGGGGGGCGGTAAGATATATAGGGAGGAGGGGAGCGGTAAGATATATAGGAGGGGGGCGGTAAGATGTATAGGAGTGGGCGGTAAGATATATAGGAAGGGGGCGGTAGTATAGGATGGGGGCGGTCAGATATATAGGAGGGGGCGGTAAGATATATAGGAGGGGGGCGGTAAGATATATAGGAGGGGGCGGTAAGATATATAGGAGGGGGGCGGTAAGATATCAGAGATCGACAGATCACACGTCAGAACTCCAGTCACGGTGTCGGATCTATAGTAGGGGGCGGTAAGATATATAGGAGGGACAGGATATATATAGGATATAAGATATCAGATATATAGGAGGGGGGCGGTAAGATATATAGGAGGGGGGCGGTAAGATATCAGATATATAGGAGGGGGCGGTAAGATATATAGGAGGGGGGCGGTAAGATATATAGGAGGAAACAAGATGTACAAGACAGTAATGATTGACACCTGTGTGAATTTACTGGGAAGTTAGTGGTCTACTGATTTTGGTAAAACACGGAATCATTGCATTTTGCTTTATTGATTGGTACGTAGCGTGCTATAGGTGTAAAGTACAGATAGAAGTCAGAAGCGTCCATCATTAACCAGTCACCCGACGGTCAGTAATCTGTCACAAGTTGTCTTTCATTTTCCGCGTGATACGCGCAGTTCGATTTTTACTAACAACCTTCCTGATCGCGTGCGTTTTTACGGCTGTAACTCGTACCACAAATGAGAAAACAAATTCCTCGCCTTCCTAATTTGCATAATATATTGTAATCCGACTTGATTTAACTCTGTCATCGTCGAGTTGCTGGCCTGAATGGCCTCAAATAATGTACAATCATTGTTTTCATAGTTTGTATGTTATAACTTATGTTCTGTATAATTTCGTTTGTAAAGTAACAACAAAACTAACATGATTACGTGTCACACTTACCAGGAACAAAGGCGTTAGTCAAACCAACCTTTGAACATAGCAATTAATAAAAAAAATATTTATACAGTTATCTGCCAACAGCAATGTCATAAATGTTGAATATAACAAATACATCCATTTCCTTGCCTAGAACACGTATAGGGAACTATTGATATAGAAAAGTAACTCACAAATATAAAATTCAGGGGAGATATGGCTTATCTAAAAGGGCGTGATTATTCCATTGGAAGGCATCAAAGTGCAAATGTATATATATATATATATAATTTACATGGTTATGACAACGAAAAAAGAAGAATATAACTGAGTATTTATATTATTTATAAAGACGTACAGAATCATAAATAAAGAATTTAGATTTCTTACTGTAACAAATTTGAAAGTTTCAGACACACACATTTGTCAAACGGAGTGATTTCTTATGAAAATATGAATAGATATGTATGTTTACTACAGATGTGAGGTAATTTTGAACACAATTTTTCAGTTGAGCAAAGACAGTAGGGTTAGACGTCGGTATTATATTCCGCGGACGACGTCGACATCTGACCTTGTGGAGACTTCGATAGCTAGACACAACCATGAATCATCTGTAATAGCGCGCCATATACCAAACAGCTGGCCATCTCCCATATAGTACCTACCACAGAGTATTTCAATATTAATTTCGTGTCCAAAGTATTTTTCGTTCATTTATTAATGTAAAATGCAGTGAATAATTCAAGAAACACCTACTTATCAACATACACGTTCGCTTACGAATTCTTCAAGTATGCAAATCGATTGATTTGTGAAATGAGCATATCGTTGAAACAGACAACGCCCTTCAATTGTGAGTTCTGATTGGTTAGTTTCCTGTCACGTGCATTGGATTCAGGTACTGTACTAATTACGACACTGTCTCGCGAGTACCTATTGTCATCAGACAGGAATGTCAAATATTCCTGGAATTTACACATCTAAAGAATTTCAATCGTTCGCACCTGATACAGTCACGAATAAATATTACCGACACATAATCCCAGTCATCACTACTGTATTTTTATTGGATTATCGATCAGCGTGACACAGTTCGGTATAAAGCTGCCACGCGCCAGTCGCGTACATGTGTATTGGGGTCGTCTTGATCGCTCAGTGCAGCTCGCCAGTGTTTATATTTCGTCCGGCACACATGTACATGTTTTAGAAAGCGCACGTGTTGGTCCAGCTCCGACAGACAGAAGATCAGGCGTTGTGAATTTAAACCGATCTGAAATACAAGCTTCGTGATCATCACAGGATGACAAAAGGTTGCCACTAAACATTTTCTTTTTGTGAAGCGAAAGCAGTCCAAAATTAATTCCTAGACGTTAACGGAGTTACGTCCCTTCAACTGTATGCAGTAAGATCCTAAAATAGAACAACAAGTGTACACACAGGTTCGAACATGACCACTGTTTAATATTTAAAGTGCAGACTTCTCTGTTTACAAACATACTGCAGTCAGCGTGGGCTATTTGAATTGACAATTTTGTGTTGTAACAAATATCTGGAAATACTTGAAAAAAACCCATCGCATTTCAAACAGACAAAAGGGTTGATAAAACGCGCGAAAATCTTTAATTTACTGCAAAAAATAATTTCAGCTTATTTAATTTTTCTTCAGATAGATGAAAAACCAGGATTGCTTTACCCTGGCCATTCTGTGGGATTTCTGGCAGGAGTGGATGACGTTACAAACGTTGTATGACACACGGGTTTATTTTTAGCCGCTCCCGCGAGTGTATCTGCCTTAGGAAGGGGCAGCACCGATGCCTAGTGTATCAAACCGATTGCAGACGAGTATCGCTTTGCCTTAGTTATAGTATTTTTTTATCAAGCTACGTCACTTTGAAACGAGATTTCACGTGACCTGGGAGAATACACATATTCTGATCAGCTGTGAAGTGTAAACAGACGGTCCGATGGAGTCGGACTAGATCATGCGAGGGAGCTTACGAGAATTATTTTCTTGGCTTTTTATTTGGTAAAACCAAGTTCATCCAATGTTTTTTGGACAATATGGATCCAACGGACACTAGCAATGATTTTCTAGATCCATGTGATTTGGAGGTATTCAATGTTAATTCGATCACGGACGAGAAACTGCGGTCAGCCACCCTCGAGTCCTTGGAGACAGGCAAGATCACACCCCTCCTAAAAGAGGAGCTCAAATGTAGAATCCTCACGCGCTGTTTGGAAGAAGGAAAAGAGTTATCTCCTGAAAGGGCCATCAAAATACAGCCCCGAAAGGACAAGGTCAGTAACAGAGGTTTTTAAATTATTAACTCGTATCTATAATTGATCCATGCTTGTTCCTTATTTTTCTTGTTAATATTTATTTACGTGAATATATTGTTTGTTATGTGAACCTATCCGTTATTTGAAAATATTGATATTTACATTATATTTACGTTATAAACAAAATGAAAAATGCGTTTTTATTGTAACATCACCATTTCATGCCATCGATTGCAAAACTTATTTTTGACCTCATGCCACGTGTGGCACAAACCGAAAAATTGTATTAATCTTCATCGTTTTTGTTTACACATGGAATTAACAGTTGTGAAAACACTATTCTCATTATTGTATTCTTTAATTCTGACTGTGAATTAGCCGTGTTCCAGTTGCATTATTAATAACATTTGATAAACTTCATGGACTTTATCTACAGAAAGCGAAAAAACTGAAACACTACACTTAAAAATGTATCATTGATAGAAATATGAGGAAATTGAATATCTTTTTTCAGTGTTTTGAAAAAAGATATATTTTGCGAATGTGATGACATTTGAAATATTTATCACACCTAGATTTAAGATGATATTTGCACCTTTGATATATTTACACGTTTGTTTATATTTTAATTTTTAAAATTTATATATCTTTAAACACTTTGGCCGATTTTGTACCGGAAATTTAAAGTTCATCGATGAAAAGAAGTTAAGGAAAATGTATTTCCTAGAAAAAAAACCCATTAAACGTTTAAAATTGTCTCGAATGTGCTCGAATAACAAGTAGAAGAAAACTATAATCTTGCTTATGTAAATATACCATTCTGTTTTTAACACGTATTGGTTTCATGAATTAATCTTTTTTTAAACATATATATATGCACACATGTCCATTTTATTGGGGTCTGAATTATTGCTGTATCACATGGTGTATTGACGTGAATTGTTTTGTAGAATTCTCTGGTCTCTAGAGAAGTCTACAGAACCATCATACGTACCTCACAGGTCAATATTCACCTTCTTATAGGTTTATTACAAAATCAGAGTAGAAATTCGTATTAATTTTGTATTGATTTATTTTAGCGGCCAATTGGTACTTAAGGTCTTTGTAGGTAAAATAGACTTCGTTTCTGATTACTGATGAACCACGATGATGACATACACCTGTCATGTATCATTATAACTGCTGTCGACGTGTTAACATCATAAATTCCCTCGCTACAGAACCATTATATTAAGTTGCTTTAAAACAAAGACACGAACATTTAGCCTGTTGTCAGAAAAACACAATTAACAGAGATAGGATAGACGTGGACTTGTGACACACATTCACCGTGCACCGATGTCGGCACGCACTGCCCATCACGTGTTGGCCGACCCGTTCCCGTCTCGTTCTCCGCCCAGGGGGATATGCATTTTAGGCTACCGTATATTCCGTAATATTAATTTAATTTGTGGGATAAAAAGTCTGTGGTACAGAGCGAGTCGACTGTTGTGTGTCGGGGTTGTGACGACTGTTGGTGTATTCTAATGGTGTGGTGCCGCGTCACAATCGATATTCTACTGATGAAGGCGATTATTGTTTCACTGGCGTTTCTTCTGTTTTATGTTCGTCTCTCCGTTTGTTTTTATTCTAGACGTCTTTTATCTCCTTTGTCCGTCCGTCTGCATGTCTTATAAAATGGTTTCGTAACAACATCAATCAAATTTGTATATTAGTTTTGTTTTGTCTTCCGGTGCTAGAACGGATTAGGTTGTGGACCAATAATCACCCTTGTCGTTTCTATTGGGAGTGTGCAAATGATACGGATCGATGTGTCTGGGTCGCTGTTTTACGGTCCGGATTCGTGACTTTCTAAGCAGCTACTTCTGTTTAATGCCACCTTTTCCGTCCGTCTAGGCGTCTGTCTACATACCTTCCGTCCGATTGTCTGACCTCAACGGCCGTCAGACATTTAAATTGAAGCATGCATTTACAGATTTTGAGTCATCTTTCAAGGATTCGACGTCAATGTCAGAAGATTAACGTTCGCCTGTTCCCTCCAACCCTCCGTGCTCTAGAATTTGAATTGCGTATTTATTTCGTTATATGTTATCAAATTATTAAAAATGTTCAGGTATTTCATGTGTTTTGTCGATGAGTTGTGATTGAGCTATTTCGGTGCTTGGCGTGTATATTTGACTTGGCAGTAGAATTGGCCTTACATACTTGCCCCTTTGCCAGGTGAGGCTGACAGAAGTGTTCACGATATACCGTTGTAGAACAAAGAGATGGCAACACCCGATGTGTGTTCTATTCTTGGTATTCCCAGACTGCACGTGTCCGACACAACCATGTTTAATCCCACGTTTTAACACTATCCCCCAGAGTTAGTCACTGTATCTCTACATCTTAACACCCCTACCCTCCTTCCATGTATAGAATTTACGTTATATTTGCATGATTTACATCATCACACGAATATCATTGCCATTGACGACACTCGCTAGCAATTTTTAGCAGTGTAACTTTGAATGGTTGAAAATCTCGCTGTATTTCTTGTAAATATCTGAACATTATTCTTCTAGTTTAAACATAGTTTATTTGACCAAAAATTAAATGGAATTGGACACAAGTTAATCAACTTAGGAACGTCCTCTTCCATAAACAATTATACAAGGTTACATACATATATGGCAGCATTTCATCAAACATTGAATCATTGATTTATACATAAAATAAAAATTACTGTATACTAATGGAAAAATTCCCAATATCAGCAGCTTTATAATATTACTAGTAAGATATAATATGAATATCATATATACACTTTGTATAACTTTATGCGAATCTATTTGTATTTTTAATAAATTCTTGGACAATCAGTCGAATATGGTCATTTTCGGCTTGGTTCAGATGAACAGAACCGTTCAACAGGACATCTAGATCAACGATTATGTAATATATAGATAGTTTTCTAAAAAGGATATTACGGGAGAGGTTGTACATGTTACATTGAAAGAAATAATGAAATGATTTTCTAAAGGGTAGGTACAGTTGCATGCTGGAGATAATACTAAATTACATCTGAAAAAATCTGCATTCAAAGCACTACAACCGTGGCGAATTCTAGCAGCATGTTTCACTTCTAATTTTCTGTTACCTACAGTCAGGTTAGTCACAGGTTTGATCTGTCTTGAAATATGACGTTTAAATTTTGACACAGTTCTAGATTATATATCTAAAGAGTTCCACATTCTGAGGGTACTCGGGATAAAAGACCTTTCATACATAACTTGTCTACATTTTGGTAATACAAAATCTTGACCAGTTCTTAAATTATATCTACTAATATTATTTACTCTATTAGGCAATGGTTCCTTTAGATAATATGGAACTAAGTCATGGTTCATTTTGTACATTATTCTCCGTGATTGAGATGATTCGAACACCGTGTATATTGTCAGGACCCTTAGATGATGTTACATTTTAAGATCGTAAACATACAGGTACAACGATATAATCCAGGGGGAAAGTGTTCCCACAAAAAGTAGGCTTATAAACTCTTAACAATCACTTGTAATGCAATTTAAATGGTGGTGTCCGAAATGTTCCGATTGTGTTGACCAGTACTTGACTTTTCGGAGGACTTTTACGTCACTCTCTGACTCCGCCAAACCAGAGCGAAGCGATAGGCATGCTTATCACACGCGTTTAATTTATTGGATAATTTTTATGTTATGTCATTCTCACCCTTTTTTTACTTGTGAGTTGATAATATCCATCTCGGTCTACCCTGCCCTGCCCACTCGATCGCGGAGCTAAATGGTCCGGAACTAGTTCCCAATCCGTACACTAGTAATTATCGATGATACTCTGGTATTTACAAACTGTATTAATTTTAAGAAATTATCATCTTCAATGATATGTAACCTAAAACCAAAATAAAACAATGCATTGTGAGTAGGATATAAAACTGTGTTAAATTTAAGAAATTATCACCTCCAATGATATGTAACCTAAAACCAAAATAAAAATCAGATATAAAAATTTGTTTGGTATTTTCACCTTTCAGTACAAATGAATTAGCTTATCATTAGGGGGATGCTGGTGATAGTATTGAGAGGTTAGCTGACGGATGGGAGACTGATATCTGTTGTTTGGTTACATGTAATATAGATGGGCCGTTTTTTCTGTTTTTGTTCTTTTAAGTGAAAGTAAAGTACGGAGGAAAAATTTGTATACCTATTCAGCACTACATGCTTATGTAAAGATAGTTTCTAGTACACGTGTACTTGATTCTATAGTTAGTCGGAATTCATAAATATGGAATCGAGGTGGTTTTTGTGCTTAATTAACAACACATGTACTTTAGAGATGATGCACTATCATACATGTAACATAATCTATTGAATTATTCAGGTATCCAGACTATCGGGATCAGTGCGACGATTAATGTGATGATAAGGAGGTATATATAACATATAGATATATAAAATTTACAAATTCTTTCCGTTTACAGTTAAAACCAGATGAGATGATGAAGCTGGAAAAAAGGCGGGAACAAAATCGAAGGGCGGCAAGAAAGTTTCGGATGAAGAAGCATAAAACGACAAAAATATTACAACAGGTATGACTGGTTCATTGTGATAGGTGTACGATGGTGCATCAATATTTATCACAAGATATACATACTAGAAGGAATACTCCGATCTCATTAATTGTTTATAAATATGTTCCAGTGTACTGATTGATAAGTTTGGCTATATTTTGTTTCGACGACTACTCTCTTATAAAACAGAGACCGTTTTAAGACTCGTGTCTGTCTGTTTTCGGCAGGAGTCGGATGTCTTGGAGTGTAAGAACAAGGATCTCCAAGACGATATACAGACACTACTGAAGCAGAAGTTTCACCTACAAAACCTGCTGTCGGAGCACGAGGGAAGGTGTCGACTCACTCCGGTCTCGGAGAGGCTTTCCCCCTTGTCGGAGAGACATACACCTATCTCGGAACAGGATTTGTCTCCCATGGATGATTACCGTATTTGTCCAATCGGGACGCACACTTTACCTCCCCAAAATTTCAACATGGAGTTACCGTAAAGACAGTAGTGTGACTCTGTAGTAGAGGACTCGCATATCATTTCCCCATAAAGTCACCGTTTTGTCGAAATCATAAAAAGTCGCCCAAAGATGATGGCGTCGAAACATTCGCATTATTCGTCTCTTCGAGGAGGTACCGTTAAAGGTAAACGACGATATGAGTTTGACATCTTTCGGCAAAAATCTCACCATGTTCATTATTATTCATAATCATACATATGTCTGACGACAAAAAAATGTCCTTTTATTCCATATATGGACAAAAATAATCTGAAATCTAACCCATAGACGGAAATAAGACACTAAATATGATCTCATACAGATATTTTTGGAATATCAAACTTTTATATGAGAAAACTCTGGTGGGTTTTCCACTTTTTTTAAAGGTTGACGACTTTTTCGTTAATTATTTTTAAATCGCACAATTCATTTTTTTCTTTTTAAATTTAAGTGTATTGATGCTATGCGTAAGATTTTAGGAGGTGTATTATATACTATCCACGTGTTTCCGCTTGTGTGGTCTAATGGAGGGTAAGTGATGGCGAGCTGTATTGTAGGATTGAAGTAACAACTCGAGTCTTTACTAATAATGAGTTCCATTTAGTATTTTATATTATTCTAATAAAATCACAACATAAATTGTGAAGTATTAACCCCTATTACAAATACAGTGCGCTGACTCCAACTTGAATTAGCATTTTTACAAAAATGAATTCACAGGATTTCTTGTCTGATTACTTTAACCTGTTTGTTTCAGTTTCAAATTGTTTTGTGTTTTTTTCTTCAAAGATAGCAATTGAAGATAAAATATTGGCAATTCGAAAGCCGGTCGTTTGTTGAGATGTAATTAGGGCTTCGGGACTAATGTCGGAGGTACGGGGTGTCGCCTGAATTCCATTACAAGGTTTCCCGCAGTTTGGTTGTCCCTCCTGATTGAAGAATCTAATTGGAGACAGACTCTAATGACGATGTAATTAGACAAGGTTTTATCGTCCCCATCAATAACACACAATGTCTTCATCGATTTTTATTTTCGATTGGATAAAATGCTAATGTCAATTTAGAATTACAGAGAGCAATTTTCCCCTTTGACGGACAGTTTATTGAAAAATGTAACATTTGTTTTTTACATACATGCTTTCATTATCATAGATGAATTTAAATAAAATATCAATGTTGGTCACTCACCACAGTTTCGAAAATGATTTATCATGGCAGGGTTCACGTGACAACAGCACTCCTTGATATATTTCGTTAACGGCGAAAACAAACAATCTAGGTGTAGGATCAGTGACTTTCTAAGGAACATAACAGTGTGATCACTGTGTCAGAATCCAAGCGCTCTCGACCTGACGTCATTTCTTTTCGTCATACTTGACGTCACACCCTACGTCAACAATGTAACACGGCATAGTTTGAACCCGATATCCAGATCGTGGTACGAATCTGGTATAAATAGGATGCTATGTAAAGCTGTTTTCAGTATCCGCACCTATTATAGGGTGATTGTGCGCTATCCCTGCTACCTAGGTTTTTCCATCCAGGTACTATAGCAGAAAAAGAGAGTTTACTGAGGATCTCTGCCTGTAGAAGTATGTACTCTGTATAAGAAGTAAGTTTAATGTGTCGCACTACTTGAAAAGTGAAAGTTAAGTACACTGTAAGAAGTATGTTTACTGAATGCCATTTCCCTGTAAGGATTCCATGTGGTTCAGTACTACTTACTTCATAACACTGATTGTATTATTTAGCGAGGAAATTTCAATTCCTCACTTGGTAAATGCTCATAGTTTGTAGACAATGTTCGTAGAATCCTGCCCATTGTTTAAGTGTACTGAGGATTTTGTTAGGGCAGCTGTACCGGAAGTAGTACTGTCCAGCTATCACGAGATACCATCAGGTGACGGTGCTTCTGTGAGTGCAGCTTTTCGGTCATTGTGACGATGAAACTGCTTGGCAAGTACGATGTCTAATGAACCTTCAAATGGCAATATAACACTGGTATCAAATCTACTTGTAGATAACATTCATCAATCCTAATCACGTTATAGATTACAAATTGAACACAAAAGTATCGTGTGTAGGAATATGACTTCAGTTTCGTGTGAAAGACATCAGTCTTTTCTTTTCCTGAATTTCGTTCTCATTGATCATCAGGGATCTCCTGTATTAATAATGTGGGAACTACTTCCGGTTCATGCTGTACTGCTTGTTGTAATAATACAACGTCAGTTCCGTTTTTAGTGAGCGGTTTCCTGGTTGGCTACCTCTGTTTTTTTGAATGATCATTAATATGTTGATGTGAGATTTATCGTCGGGATGTATTTGTTTATTGCATGGCAGAGTTACCAGATATTGTCAGTCATGGGATTGTTTAGTTGGTGTAGCACTATCTTCCTTGGTTGTATTTACAATAACTCCCACAGGTATTCGTTTGACAATACTTCTAAACTTTAAATCATATCTACCCTTCTCTGAATATTCTTTTTTGTTCTAGTCAGTTCGATTTCAACGAACTTAAAATATTTTTGATAATGCCGAGAATGATCTATTGTGTGGGGTAATGTGTCAGCTATAGTCTAATGCCATCGGCCGTTCTCACATGGAATATTGGTGTCAACAGCATATCAGTTCCATTGTCTTATCGTCTATGTATATGTTACTTACGTACAGATATACGTAAAACTGTTCCCTCTGATTATAGTTTGTAAATTATAACATTTGTTGTCTATCTTGAGATATATTTGTTTCTTTTGTTATAACATTCTATTAATTTTTGTATTTTTTCATGAAAAAATGTTGATCTCAAATGTTATAATGGCTGTTTGTTTTTAATGAATTTTATCATCGTATTTCTATCCTTGTATTTCTAGGAATATGTGTTGATATGTTTGTTGAACCTCCATGTTGTGAAAGCTGTTTACACTCAATTTTAATATACCCTTATGTGTAGTTATATTTGGTAGTACATCATTGTGTTTTATATTTGTGTTCTATATCCTGTCAGGATGGGTAGAGATTCTGCTCGCCGTTCAGGATCTAAAGATATTCTGGTCTTCTGTCAGGGTATGAAGGGATCTTCTGTCATGATTTGTAGAAATTCTGGTCTCGGGGTCAGAATTTGTAGATTCCGACATTTTGACTGGACAATATGTAGAGATCCTGACCTTCTGTCAGAATTTGTAGATATTCAGGCCTCGGTGAGGAATTATACATTCTGTTTCTCATATTTCCTACGACAAAGTTTGTTGTTTTCCCCATTATTCACACCAGAAGATTGTTGTAAGAATGGTTTGAAACAGAAGTCTGATAGATGATATCCTGATAATAACAATCTTTTCTATTTGGGGTGTAGGATCTGCCTGACAAAGGTAGGTTCTATCGATCGTTCCTGAAACTAAGTTCTGGTAATCCTATTTTGGCGATTTGATTTAGAAATTTTTATCTATCTATTATTCAAAGAAAATTAACACTATCATCATTTCATGAGAGTAAAGAGTGACACCCTATGGGCCTGCTATGTCGGGTTGAATTTATGAAACATACCAGCTGTCAACGCCGCCAATATGCTGTTATCTAGATTTACTTCAAACATTTGTATAAACTGCACCGTGAGAATCCAGAAAACGGACCTTTTCAAGTGTTACACATTTTAAAGTTACGATAAATTTACTTATTACAGAAATTTCGACAATTATGAAAGTTATCAGGAGTAACCCGTTGCATCACCATCGTTTGTCCAGTAGCTGTCTGTGTTGTACTGTTGTGAACATATTGTAGATTTATGTCTGTATATAGTAGCCAGCTGTATCCTAGATCAACAGGAGTTTTAATATGTACAAGTTCTTTTTCAAGAATTCATATACTCTTATATTTTCTATGACTTCATACCCTTGTCTGTCTTGTTCAAACATCCTTTTCACTGCATCAAATGCAATCCTCACACTTCATAATCCCCCCTTCCCAGTCCATGTGCCATTTATTCCCTGTAAAGTGTACGAACATTGAATTCACACCTTCAAACACGTGTCGAACACTTGTTTATCAAGCTTCAGGAGACCTTGCGATACCAGTTTTGTCATCGTTTATATTGACGAAGATGAAATGAGCACACTTGCTTATATTAGCAGTGTTCAGATATGATTCTTGCTAATTCTTGGGAACACAAAATTGTTATAGGAATCACTGTTACAAGGTGCTTTGATCCTGTGTTCGTACAATGGGGTCCATATAACAAACACTTCATAAAAGAGAGAAAGAACTACATCTGCATCAACATCCCTCTGACTGTGACGTCATTCCATCACTTCATCAATCTCCAAGATTAGAATAATATATATGATTTTTAAGGAGAGAGAAATGAATATTTATTCCAAAAGTGCTTATATTGCAATGATAGTCCTTTCATTTTATACACACTTACATATATATACTACAATGCGATGCCTTATCAATTTATATAGATCCATCCAGAATAAACATGAATATGCAAATCAGTTTTAACTATTTATAACTGCATATTAACAAAAATCCATCTTGAATTGTGTTTTTGTCATGCAAATGTATTTGTCATCATGTTTAGCAATGGAAACTGGGAAATAGGTATTACCAACAAAAATGTGAAAACAAGGAAACTAACAAAATACAGAGTGACAGGAATTGGTGATAATTTGAAGTTGGGTGGGTTATGTAGCGAGCTGTTTGGCATTCTTTCAAGGTTCTTGCTTAAAATCGTGTTTCTTGTGCTATTCAGTAAACTAGACATACAAACGATGTCAGCATATGTTGAGGAGGACAGATCTGGCACGTGTTAGCTACGGCTGGATACAAAATATTATCCAACGAATTGTATTTATTGCCACTTATAAAATGTAATAATTTTCCTGATCAATGGAAAATGTCCAGACAAAACATATCCTTCATATTGGATCATTCATCTATCACCAATGTCTGATGGAGTACAGATTAGTTGTACATCCACCCACAGGGTTATTGAGAAACCATCTATTGTTTACATTAAAGTTTAAAAGGACTTATGATTTTATCGGCGGTTTCATACATTACTTATTTCCCTGCCTGGGTTGAATTTCGACTTTACTTATCTTCAAGTCTTTGTCAACTAAAAGGCTTGTGTTCGTATCTTTGGCAGAATTTTATATGAATTTTTTTTCTGTCTTTGGCAGAATTTGATATAAAATGTTTTTCCTGTCTTAGGCAGAATTTTGTATAAAATGTTTTCCTGTCTTTGGCAGATTTTTTTGTAAAATGTTTTCCTCTCTTTGAGAAATATGTTTTAACTTGTTTCCTTTGTTTTTGTCAGTTGATGAAGCAATAGATGTTACTACGTGTTTGCTTTAATTTTGATATGACACAATATGCCATACTTGTAAACAAGTAACCCGTTACAGTGGGGTAATGTAGACCATGCCAGCCTTGACCATATTGTCCACATCACATTAACCATACCCGATTTAAAGTGTACCTTAACATTCGAATGGCCAATGTTGACTTTACTACAAATTTTATCTTTTATTTCTATTTCGTAAAATACTATAGTA